TTAGGTCTTGCCAATTATTACGTTTTTGTTCCAAGAATGCACATTTTGAGAGCTCAGAAGGCAAAAAAGAAAAAGGAAATTCACAGAACCTTTAGAAGTTAACCCAAAAAAGAAAAGATATTGAATATCTTTCATTTCATACCATGTCAACAGAAAAAGGAAAAGAATGAGTAAAAAAAAAACTTTGAATTACCAGAAAAGCACAATACGCATTGGATTATTGGAAATTATTATCATTTTTAAAAAGAAAAAAATTGTAAATGTAATTCTTCTATATTTTGTTTTGTCGAAAAAGATTGAATAAAAAGTATTGTGTAGTAATTATAAAAAAAAAAAAAAAAGACTCCATACAGCGTCAGGCTGAAAGGGGGAGGTTGTGGTGTTCTCCTGCTAAGATGTTAGACTCTTCCGCCTATTATAAATTTAGTAGGGGAGAAGGTTCGGGGAACAGTGAATAGATTGAGCACTAGTTCATTCAATACACTCACTAGCTGTACATTACACTTACTGGTGTACTTACTGTTTAATATATGATATATCTGCAAACCTGGTTTTTGTTATTACTTAACCATTTACTTGATCATGAAAAATCAAAATTAGGCATTCCTGATTAATAGACTGAAAATTGGCTTGCAAGCAAAAATCTCAAAGAATCCAAATTTGCTCATGGTTTCTTAATTCATTTGAGATGTTCATGAAAAGTCAAAATTCTGATTAAAAGACTGAACATTGGCTTGCAAGCAAAATTTCATTAGGAATCAAAGTTCCTTGTTTGCAGGTTTTCCTAATTCATTTGAGATGGTCATGAAAAATCAATATTTGACATTCCTGATTAAATTGGCATCTCATTGAACAAGATCTCATCAGGAATCTAAATTCCCTCTTTTTATCTGACAACTCAATATTTTGTTACAAAATCTTATGTGAATATTAATAAAAACATACATTAACAAAATGTCTTCAAAACAGTGGTTGATGGTTGTATATTAATTAGGGTAACAATAATTAAGAAAAACATGCTAATTTAAATTTTAGTAACATAAAATTATGCTTTCAAGAACAGAAATAGTATAAATAATAATATGGTTGAACATTTTCTTTTTATTTACATTTTATATTATTAAAAAAAGAAAAAGAATCCAGCTAAAACACATTTTATGAGTTGTATGTGTCTTCTTACAAGTCATGGTTTAATTTGGTTTTGTTTTAACCAACTTTAGCACAAAGCCATATCCATGTTCTGACAGCAAGAATTAAACTCACTTAGTATGTTTATAAGCATATCATTCTCCAGCAAATACGCTTCGGCTTACCTGAATATAAATAGTAATAAACTATCCAGTAGTGGGTTAAAAACCCATAAATAAATCAACTAAAATTATTAATCACAAAAAAAAAAATCTGATTCCTTTTTTAAATAAAATAGACTAAAATCTACAGATAAGTTGATCTTTTACCCAAAGAGAGACTTAAGTCACTTAACAAACAATGACGATATCAGTAATGTTATTTTAAAAAAGGAAATGTGAAATCTACACGTTGATTAACTAACACTTCTTAATTGTGTATGAAAAAAGTCTTAGTTACTTTTGTAAGCTCAGCTCACCAGAAACATGGTCTGCTTATGCTCGACTCGTCATAAAAATGTCATATCTTGCAGAAGGTAAATAATGGTCTTTTTAACAGAAGATTCTTTAACATACATTTAAAAAGAAAAAAAATTAAAAAACGCACAATGAGGTACTGGAAAGTTCTGTCATACCCACTTTGAAGAACAAATTCTTTTACTTTTTGTTCTCAAATCATCAGTACAGCATAGAAAACTTTTTTTTTTATTAGTACATTTTCCAACAGCATCAATTTATAGTTACAATACATAAATGAAATCCCAAATCATTGATTAGATTACTTATGTAGCTGTGTAATCAAAAGATGATGTGAATTACATTCACTTAGCAACAAGTCAAGAAATTTTCTGGCACTACTTTTGTTTGCACACACAATGAATTTATTTACTTACCACACATTAAAATTTGCATAATAATATTTAAATTGAATGCCTGAAAAGTTTTCAATCAACATGTTTTCAATTTTTAATAGATATTCAAGAACCAATTAAACACTATAGATCCGTGGTGATTTGATGCCAAAAATAAAATTGAGTCTGAATTTTTGATTCTACATAAAACAGTATACAAGTAAAATAATTATCCATTTTTTTCTCTGTGCAAAAGTTTACCAATTTCTATGCATCTAAACATGCACTTGCTCAGAATGAATAGAGAAGTATGCAACTAATGGAGCAAGAGTTAAAAAACACCCATTCTTACCATTACCAAGCTAATATCAGAATTTATTAAAAATTAGACAAGGCATTGTGTTTATTATTATGTCGAGTTCATTGTTTTGTTTTCTGTTTGTTTGTTTTTTGTTTTTACACGAAGTAGTTAGTAATAACAGTCGAGTATTGTTAAGTTTCATTTCCAGCAATTTCTACATACCAAATACTAATTTACCTCCTTTATAACATTCTTATTTAAAAACACAAGTTTCAGTGTATGCAGGATTTTAGTGCAGTAACACAAAAAAATGAAATGTGAATCTATGATTGAAACCAAAGAGTACTAGCCAGTGGCGTACCTAACGTGCGTGTCGCTAAGGGTCTCTAAGAAGAAGAAAAAAAATGAAACAACTAATTTTTTATGTTACTTCATTATATACTAATTAATTACACCCCTCCTCCTCTAGATCCGCCAATAGTTCTCTAGCCAAGAATATTACCATGTGAAGAAATTACAATCTAAAATAAATTCAGTTTTATGAGAGAGAAAAAAAAAAATCAAAGAAATACTGCAGTTCAATCACAATATTTATTTTATTTTATAATGCATGACTTTTTTTAATCTAAAAGAGGGCTCTAAATATGAGGCTAGTTCAAAAAATTCAAGAAAATATAAGGGAAATAAATCAATATTAAAAATAAAATTGTTTCTTTAAAAACTTTAACTTTATTAATTGTTTAAATTTGAGGCAACTGTCAATAATTCATTTTATTTTTAATTTTAGAATATATAGCTACTTGATTTCATTCCATTTTTATTTCTCTTGCGTTTATTACTCCTTGTATTTTTTTATGAAATGAAGTCTTATCAATTATTTTTCACTAATGTCTTTCTTTATTAATCTAATTTCTTTTATTTACGTCACAATAAAAATGTACGGATTGCTGGTTAATGAAAGAAAAACACCTGAAGCCTGTGATAAATAAAGAATAAAAATAAAAATGAAAGAAAAATTCGTGAGAAAAATAAATAAATGATGACTGATGAGTTAGTTATGAATGATGACTGTAATTTAGAAAAAAAAAAGTACAAAAACATACATTTTGAGCCCCCCCCCCCGCCTTCATCATAAAATTTATGATTATTAAAAAAAAAATTATTATAAAACATAAATATTTATCTGATATCATGACAAATATTTTTGTTTTAGAGTCAGTACTGAATAACGTCTGTAAAAACTGTAGAACGATTAAAAAGCCAATTTTCAATTATTTCTTTAATGAGATATCAGTTTTAATAATTTTACATGTAAAAAAAATGTAATGAAAATAAGTATGAGTAAGTCTTTAATAACTGACGAATTTATTTGTTTGACCAAAAATAAAATGAAAACACTGAATGACAATTCGTGACGATGCTAAAAAGGTGTACTGTACACTACACCGTGTAGAGACATATGCCAAAAAAAAAAAAAAAAAACGAATGTTTTATAATAAAATTCAAATTAGTTGGAAAATTTAAAAGCATAACTTAGATTTCCTTAAAAAATATTTAAAAGAATAAAAAAGATTTGTGTTATTTCCTTTCTTTTGAGAACTGAATGAATGTTTTTAAAAGAAAAAAATATTTGGTATTTTATTTAACTTTAGTACACGTTCCTTTAAAACGACAATTACAAAAAAAATTAAAAAAATAACCCTGCCGAAAATAGCATAATTTAAAAAATTAAAATTTAATCAAGTCAAGTGTAAAAAAAACAAATTTTTAAATGACAGTCTTTCTTCCACTATTTTTATTCGTATAAAAAAAACAAAACAACTGGTACGCTTTCCTGGTAAAACATCAGGAAAGCAAATCATTCTTTGTTTTTTAAAATTAATATTTTGAATAATTATTCCTTGGAAGACAAAAAATGTAATTAGAATTCAGAAAATAAAGTTAAAGAAAAGTAAAAAGGATTCTATTCTTAATTTATTTAGGTTGGTAATTATTATGCTTTCCTAAGCGACACAAAAAATGTTGACTATTTTTAAATCACAGGAAATAAACATTTTGATTACGGACAAAGTAAAAAAAAAATTATTTCTAGTTACAAAAAAATATAGCGTTAAATTTACTTAGTGAATAAATCTTTATTTATTTATTTTCTTTTTTTTGTCCTTTTTGTTTTTTTAATTGTTGTGAAGGTTAAAGACTCAATTTATCTACTTTTTCAGCAAGGCATGGGACAAGAGTCACAAGGTGACAAGATATACTTTTTTTTACTTAAAAATTATTCTTATAGAAAACATGCAAAGTCTTAAGACAATTTTCCTAGAAAGAAAATAATAATACTGTACATAATAAATATAAAACTAAAAAGTTTAACTGTCAATAGATTTTTTATAGGTACACTACTACACATATGCCAATGATAAACAATTTTTTTTAATAAAAACTAGTTACTGATCCAATAATAAAATACAGTCTTAAAAAGCTTTTTTAATCTTACATCTGTCAATAAAAATAATTTATTTTGGAAAAGCAAAAAAAAAAAAAAGAAAGAGGCGTGTTGCCACTTTTAGTTTTAAGTCCATACAACCAAGGTAAATCTTAACAATAAGCAACATTATGGAAAAGTGATGTGTAATGGCTATTTAAAACATATCCCTGTTGATTTTGTAAAGATTTAGGATTATTTTAACAAACTTATGCCAGAAATGCAATATATTTACTTACAATACTCAGGATCGAAGCCAGGCTTCGACAGAATTGCTTTAATATCCATATTGACAGCCGGAAATAAATAAGATCTGATGGCCGGTACCTTACAAAGCTATAGAGGAAGAATCTTAGCACCGTGCCCCAAAGAAAAGAAAATTAAGAACACATCTTATTATACTTGGAATAAATATTATTTCTATCATTAAAAATAAGAATTTTTATTTTAAATAAAGAAGGTGAAGTAAATATCTTCTAAAATAAATGTGTCTGTTACTATTATTATTATTATTTCGAAACTGTTGATTATTTTGGACGAAGACATGCATTTTTTACGGTGTCGCTTAACCAAAATTATAAACAAAACATTTACTCTTCTATGCAAGAACGTATTTTTAATGTTTAAGATTCATTAGAAAAATTTGTGAATTAAAAACCTTTCGATGCCAAGACATAAAATTTTAATATTTTTATTAGCAATTATTTATTTATTTCTTATTTTGATCTAATTAGAAAACTATTTCGTATAGTTTCAAAACTTTGCTGAGAATTTAAAAAATATTAGGCATCGCAAATTTTTACAAGAAATAAATTAGCTTAAAAATATTTCATATTTAATCAAATTAATTTTATTTTTCTTCGTTAACCTGTGGAGCAAAAAACTGATCTGTACACTACACTACACTACACTACTGTACACTACACAGGAAGAAGGATGCCGAGGAGAGCCCAGGTGTTTTCCGATCACGAATTTGACACTTGAAGTTAAAGACAAAGTAATTTATTTATATTTTATTTTTAAATCAATCAATAATCAACAATGGTCTCGACTTGAGGAAACTTAACACGACATATCCAATTTATCATCTTTAAATAAATATCCTAGTTAGGTCTCTAAGTAAATAAAAAATTGTTAAAAAAAATACCACAAGTAACTGAATGAATGAATAATTACATTTTTTAACTTTTTGTTAACGTCAACATTGCAAAGTACATATGAAATCCCAGCTCTAACTAAACTTTGAATTTTTCTACTTTTTAATATAAGCTTGGTTAACTTGGGATACTAAAGAAAAGAAATTGAAAAAATAAATAACCCTGAACCAATATTTTACTTAAAGCCAAAATGATAGATCATCAATATTTAATTAAGTAAGAAAGTAATTGAAAGTTAACTTATTAAGTAGGGGTTTTACAATTAAAATAGATACTCCACTTTTTTTGTCATAATAGATTTCATATTTTTTCTACTCAATAAAAGTAGGCAAGTTTATCAGATTGATTACTTTTAGTTTTAAAAGACCTAAAATACACAATTTTGAATTTTTCTATTTGTAACATTTGGGACTACTTTTAAAATAAAATGAGATAACTTGAGCTATTAATCATTAATAAATAATTAATGAGAAGAAATTAAATACAAAATTTAGTAATGTTGGGGTTTCATGTCACCTAATTACAAAGTGTTTTTGGTTAATTCTCCAAAACTAAGAGTTTATCTTTTCTTATTCTTTAGTTTTTTAATCCTATTATTTTTTTTACAGTTTTCCTGATTTGCTTTTTGATATAATCCTTTATCAAATATTTTACCGGGGATCTGTGACAAAAGGAAGTTTTTTTTTTTAGAAAGTTATTGAGCACATTATATTGAGAGAGTTTTTCTGAATAGGTGAGCAGTACTCATGGGCACAATCTTTTGTATCTCAGATAGTGAATGGTTTCCTGGGATTTTCTTATGTATATATCAGTATTTTTTTTTTGTTGTTCTTGTTCTTGTTGTTAGAGGGGCTGTGTTTCATTCAATTTCTATTTCCATGTCCTTATATTTTGAATGTTTGTCAAATTCTTTTACTGAGATAATTTAATCAGATGGGATAGTCAGTTCTATAAGATAGCACATATGTTTTAAAAGTATCATTATTATATCTGGTGTGTTGGCTTGTATAATGTGGTTGGTACGTATAGTGAAATCCCAGAGAACTAACATTTTCACATTCTCAGAATGGTGTATTTTTTATTTAGACTAATTTCCTATGTGAGGAAATTTATAATTTTAGCATATCTATCAATGCAGATATTTCTCTATCCTGTCTATATTTAAATTCACCTGGTGTTGTTAGGGAACCTAGATATTAGATGGTCAAGTGTTTCATCAGAATTTGTACAAAAGTGATATTTTTTTATCTTATTAAAATATGGTCCTGTTAGGATTTTACTGATAGGTTTTGCTCTTGAGTGACTAGGATGAATTCTAGCCACTCAAACAGTTTCTGGTTTCAAACCAGAGTTCTACAACCTTTGAGAATGTGTATCAATCATCTAAGAGTTTTACTTCTGATTTGGTTTTCAGAGTAAAGCCTTTATTTTTTACTTTTCATTTGATGTTTTTGGTTTCTACTTTTGGTATTTCACCTCCTATTTCATCTTCTTTATATAATTGTATATCTTGTTTGAATTTTAGTACACGTATACAATATAGTTTTATTATTATTATTATTATTATTATTATTATTTCCTTGTATTTCTGTTGTATACACATTTCCTTCTGGGTCCCAACCAGAGACCTAAGGCCAGAAATGGCTTCATGACATTTTCTACTGATCATTTTTTTGTGAAAAAAAACCCTCCAGGATCACACATTTTACATAGACAAAACTCTTCATAATGTGTGAGCTGTACTTGTGAGCACAATATTTTGTTGTTCTTTAAGGTATGGGCTACCAGGAATCCCTCTAATGAGTCTATCAGAACCTTTTCCAATCAATCTGCAACTGGAATTATTGATGTCCACACATATCATATTTTGAGATTTCAGCTTAAAGATCCTTGTATTTTGATAATTTTTTGAAGATCTTCAAAGATACATTACAATCTGCAAGGACTGCCATGTCAATAAGAAGGTACATTTGTTTTTGTGGTCTTTGATCATGAAGTCTGCGCAATTAGCTTTGATTGTTCTGTGAGTAACTGTTACAGGTCCTATCTCTATAACTGGATCTGAGTGATGTTCATACCAGTTTCTTGCAGTTTCCTTCCTGTAAAAGTTGCATATTTTCCAGTGTAGAACAATATCTACATTGGAAAATATGCAACCTTTACTCTATCATGCCAAGTTTTATATTAAGTGAGTGCTAAAACCATGTAATCTGATACAAGATAGTCAATCTTTCCTGGATATTTATCACAGAATCAGCATTTGGGGTCAACAAATTTTTTTCGGTATGTGTGCTTGGTAATTTCTAGTTAGCAAATATTAGTCCTCTGCGGCAAGAATAAAACCTTTACTCTCAGCTTTTAACCCTGCACTACATAACCACTGATGGGTTATGAATTTTTTTGTCTAAATCAGCTGTTTGGTACATTACAATCTGCAGGGACTACCATGTCAATATTCACATTCTGTTTTGTGGTCTTTAATCACAATGTCTGGGTGATTAGCTTTGATTGTCCTGTCTGTGTGTAAAGTCTCATGAAATTGTTACAGGTCCTATGTCTGTAACTAGGTCTGGGTGATGTTGATACCAGTTTCTTGCAGTTTCTTTCCCATAAAAGTTGCAGATTTTCCAGTACAGATATTCATCCACTCTATCATGCCGAGTTTTATATTCAGTGGATGCTAACCTGATACAAGATGGTCAGTTGTCTCTGGATATTTATCACAGAATCTGCATTTCAGGTTAACGCACTTTTTCAGTATGTGTGCTTGGTAATTTCTAATTAGCAAGCATTGGTCTTTACTCTCAGTTTTTAACCTTGCACTACATAACCACTGATGGGTTATGAATTTTGTCTAAATCAGCTTGTTTGGTACAGGCAGAGTATTGAGCATGAAGAGGCTTATCTTGTCATCATTTCTGTATTTGGTATGTTATATTTGTATTTGCTTTCTTTTTTAGGTTCTTTGCTGTTGTAGTAGGTCTATTACAGTTTATTTTCACTTCTACACCCACTTGAAATCCCCTATTGAATTTATTGGCTTTCTTTATTACTGAATCAAATTTGTTATTTTTTTTTTTTGTGTTCTTTGGCACAGATCATCATCCAGTCTTTTTTAGTTTTCAGGTATCTTTGAAGACCAATTGTTGTGGTTTTGTAAGCCAGTTAAAACCACAACAGTTCTAGTTGAACTAATCCTTTGGATCCTTCAAATCTGGGAACATACAGATGATCAACATCATCCTTAGGATGATACATGTGGTGGCAAGTAAGAAGCTTTCTCGTTTTGACATCCATTCAAATCCATGTCAGCTATGGTCCAATTAAGGATGTTAAAACTGTATTGTGCCAAAGGACAGCCTGTGTTTAACACCAGATGCAAACACCTATAGTATTCTTTACCTACTTTCTCCTTCATTTGGGTATGCTGTATTCCATCTCCTTTGCTGACTCCTAGGTATTTATAGATTTCTTTTTTTCCAGTTTCCTAACCTTTGTAAGTAAATCTGGAACTTTTGAGTGTGTTTCTGCAATTCTCCCTTTCCTGAATGTTACTTTTGTATATTTATCTAATTCGGAATCCATGTCAATCTCATCACTGAAACATTTTACAGTATTGAGGAAACCCTTCAACTCATTGCCATCTTTGGGAAAGAGTTTGATATCATCCATGTAGAATATGTGATTAAACACTTTCTTTTTTTTACTTTGTATCCATAGTTATTATTGTTTATTTCATGCTAAAGGGGGATTAAGGACAGACAGAACAGAAGGGGGACAACAGGGAGTCTCTTTGGAAGATTGCTCGTTTGATATTCAAACAATTGGAAGTGGCAGTACCTTTGGTGTCATTTAGGTATAATGTGGTTTTCCACTGTTCCATGCTATAGTTAAGAAAATTTACTCTTACTGAGGAGACTTTGTACATTTCCAAAGCTTTAAGGATCCAAGAATATGGCAAACTATCAAAGGCTTTATGGTAATCTAACCAAGTTGTGCTGAGATTTCTAGCTTTTTTCCTTTTAGAAATCTCAGTACAACTAGGATCATTTTATTTATAAGTAGATGATCTTTGCAACCATATGAACCTCTTTAACACTCCTTCTGTTCCAAGGGAAAGAATGTTGTTTT